TAACAAAAGAAAAATATGAAAAGATAAAAATGTCTTTACTAAAAATAAAAAATGGCATGAGGATTATTAATTTTTAAATGCTACTGACTCTATTACAATGTAGTATCTGTTCATAATTACTGAGCACAAAGTTTGAGCTGATAAAGCCTCCACTGAGGCTTGAACTCACAATCTCCCATAATCTAAGATTAAATTTATAATTGTCGCAAAAAAACAAAAAGAACTCCGGTAAAATTAACTCTAAAATTTATTAACATCTATCCTACGTCTCTTTAAAAGTCTATAAAACTCTTAATTAAATTCACCCTATTTAATTCATGAATAATAATGATAATATAAGACTCTTAAGACCGTTCAGATTTGAGACAGACAAGACATGACTGGAATGGAATGTCCTCAACACCTGAATTCATAGACCACAAAGGCTGCTGCGCTTCCGCCATTAACATTTGAATTACTCAATTCATACCGTTTCATAATATAATATACCTACCGACAGAATAAGTAACAACATACAGAATTACACATTACTCCTCCTCCTTCCTTCCTTAGCTTCTCCCCTGCTGGCTGCTGGCTGCTGGCTGCTGCTGCACCCCACCATCTAGGCATCTAGGCATAATCTACATTATTACATTCTTCTTCCTCCTCATTCAATTCAACCTACACTCCCTTCTCCTACGATACAATTTAACTACACAAACATGATACATGACATGACATGCATGCTGTTCCGCATTCGTCACAAATTTTACATCTCATTATTACTCTACCATCATTGGAATTTGGAAGAAACTCATTGGTTCCTCTCCATTTTACTCCTTACTCGTTGCAAGACGCGTACAAACTCATAGAACATTGTGAAATCTAAACCTGCGGGACCATCAAAGTCTGCAGCCACACTACTTTTTAGAGCATAAGTGCAAGGGTTCTGGCATATGATGAAATCAAACCCCCCATACTTTTGAACCAAAACTTCAAGCCTGTTACTAGCTAGCTTCTGAACATCTTCAATCTGCACCAACTCTCCCCTCTGACCTGAACTTTCCCACCACTGTTTAAGAATTCTTCGCTTTGATTCTGAAGCTTCCACACACACCACTACTTTTAGCTCAATTCCAAGCCGATGCAAAGCAATTTCTGCTCCACCAATTCCGTTGTAAATAGACAACATTTTCAATCCTCCTGGATACAGAGATTTCAAGATGGATAGATGATATGCCAATGTGTCAATCTGGACGCACTGTTTTAGCACCTGGAGCCTATCCATCAAGCTGAAACCAGCAATTCGGGTGTGATTTATTGGATATCCGAGAATGCTCTCCACATTTTCTGCCTCTATTGGGCCCAATCTATTTCTCCCAACCCAAACAAGATTCAATGTCTGGCACTGACGGATGATGTCTTTCTGTCTTTCAGCTGAAAGAAGTCCTCTGGAATCTGCTAATATTCTTTCAATCCTATCACGTGCTTGAGAGATCCCACTTGTCTCAGCATTGATGTAACTCAGCTGCTTCCTTGTATCCCATGATGGCCACCATTTTGATGTATGGGGCATCACTTCCTGAATAGTCATTGGTGGCTTTGGAAGAATGTGAAATCTAGGTGCAGTAGGAAGATTATGCACATATCCTTCTCTCCGGCTGAGGGCTGAGAATGATTGAGTATTAACAAATTCTGGTTCAATTGCATACAAAAATTGTGATATTTTGACCCAAGTATCATGAGATAAATTCATGATGGTTCCATAAAAGAAATAGGGAGGTTTAGCCACCATTTGATCAAGGCTCCTACATGAACTAGGCATAGACATTCTTGGTGCTGCAACATTTTCCAGCAGTCTTGCTTTATGGGGAACCCTTCTTTTAGAAACTGAAGAACAAGCCCTGCTGAAAGGTGGAAAATTTCTAAAGTTAGTTTCCTCCCACTCTGGCCCAACAGAACTACTGAAGCCTTCATCATACTCTTGTTTTGGCTTTTTCAAATTGCTTGATTGATCAATATATTCTTCTTTTGGGCGTTTCCCTCTGAACTTCTGCAGTAAGTCCAAATCTGAGGATTCATAATAGGTTTCTGGAGTGGGCTCTTCTCTTTTAACAGCCAGTGGATCAAAACAATGACCACCTAAACCATCATGCATCGCAATACTCAAAGGTCTACACCTGCTTCGAGCACTTGAACTATTTGTGCCAAGGGAGGTCAAGAAGTACTGCCAAGAGATACCAGCAGATAAAAGAAAAGCAATTTATATTTTGTATAGGGAAGGAATAGTAAAGGCTCAGGTTAAGCACCACAAGTGCATGCGCTTTTGAAGTGCACTTCAGTTCTATTTTATGGAAAGTGGATGGTGATATAAATCAAAAAAATTAAGGCTGATTGGAGAAGCTTGCGGAATTTTATGTGATCAAGAAATGTCCATACAAGTAAAAGGCATATTCCATCAAACAGAAATGGGGCTGATTATGCTTCATGGCAATGAGTGTTGGGAAGTAAATGACTTGGTAGTAATTTCAACACAGACCCCTGACAACTGGGTAGTAAAATAGAGGCAAGTACAGAAAGACCAAAAGTGACTTGGATTAAAGGTACCATGAGCATTATGCTAGATGAAGGGCTCATGCGGCCATGCAGGTTCAATGCTTGAATAATTCATGGAAAAACAGAATAATAGAACCCCTTTTGGGGATTAAGGTAAACATATACCTTTTCCCTTTTAATGCTGCTATTAGGATTCTTATCTGATACAATTGATTCAGCAAGCTCTTCAAGAGGGATTTCTGAACCTGAAACGAAGAAGAATACAAAAACTGAAATTAGAAGAAACACTAATTTGCATGCCTGACTGAGATTGGACCAGGAAAGCTAGCTGGCAAGTTAGTTGGTCAGTACACCTTTCACACATCATGAAGAGTTGAATGTAAAAAATATTAAAGTGACTGTACCTAATCAGCAAAAATTATTTAATTGAAGAAGAAACTGCAGGTAAAGCAATGTGTATTTCAAAAAACACAAACTTCATCCAATGGCAATGAAGTTTTCCATTTAGTTTACTCACCATACTTCTCGATAGCAGTTGAAATCTCATTCTCAGAGAAACCCATTTCAATCAGTCTAAGTGTCTTCTCCATGGTCCCAAACAAGACTTCAGTGATGAGTTCCTGAACAGCAGAATTCGCATCAGCCAACAGCTCTTACACATTAGGAAATAAAATATGGAGTGTTATGCTAACATAATATAAGAAGTTGGAAGTTAGTAAGAAAGATCATATCATTGTTTATTAGATCTTTGAAAGAAATGACTCTCTCCAGTCATCTTATGCATTGGAATATGCTTCTACATGCACAATTGCACACAAGGCTATGGATATCCTTTTCCAGCAAACCCCAAGCTTAGAGGCTTTAAATCACTAATGATAAATGCACAGCAGTACAAGCATACCTCACTATCTCTCAAAAGGACAACACAAAATGAAAAAGGGAAATAGAATTTACAGCAGCGTGCAGTCATAATGGCGTGTAAAAACAGGGAGGTTTTATTTACTTTATTCTCCCCATATGGCTATAACACAATTTAAGAGGGGAGTGGGTGGGAATATAATTCAGACAATCTTAGAGCTCCCTGCCTCTCCTGTTTTAGAGTCCCTTAATCAAATTGAGTTCAAAATTTGAACTTCACAAACAAATTCATCCTCCCCAAGGCACCAAAGCTTCAAAATCCAACTGACCCCTATCATTCTAACAAATAGAAAATGGAGAGGATTTCTACAGAATAAAATGTTTGAAGATTCCCATGAAAAGCCAACTAGATGAAAAAAAAAAAAAAAATTTAAAAACCAGGGAGATTTGTAAAAATGGAAAAATGGAAAACAGTACTAAAAAATCACATTTTCTGTTTTCTGTTTTCCATTTTTCCAGAAACTAAATGCACCCAAAACCTTCCTTTTATTGGAAAAAGTCATTTTGGAAAAAGAACACTGTAAATGTAATATGGAATAAGATTTAATAACAGTGAGAGCAAATTGATCGACTGAATGACTATTATATCATTAAAAAGAACCTGCTCATTTTCTTTTGCATCGACTGAATTTGATTCTCTTTCCAAATTTCCAGCAATCCGAGCAGCAAGAATGAAGTCCACAAGTTCAGTGACAAGGGCTTCTCTGCCTGTTATGCAAAATGAAGAGAATAACATTGGACATTGAAGCAGACACAGGATTTAAAACACACAAATAAGCCTGTTGTAAGAAGCATGGGGTCCTGGGAAACTTTATGGGAAGGAGAAGATTCGAGACTTTTGAAGCCACTTACGGTAGTTTAGTAGCATTGTGCTATACCTTTCATGGACTATAAGGATATAACATAATTTATCCAGAGGATAATTAGGGGTGCATTCTAGCCAAACACACAGCCAGGGCTCATTAAAAAGTTTATAGAGCTCAAGTTAAAGTCCAGCACAGTTGAGCTCAAATTTTAAGATCTCAATTCTCAACCCATGGTCAAATGAAAATAACAAGGATCAAGGTTGGGCTTGAGCTTAAATGACTAAGCACAAAAGGTCAAGCTCAAGTAGATCACAAGCCAGGTCAGCTCATCCACACCCCTAATTATAAGGATTTCCCACTTCCTATATCCATTATATTTATTTTGCACTTAAAAATGGCAAGTAATATGTGTATAATACATGCTGATTTCAATGCAAATAAACTGTTACAGGCACAATGATAAATAAAAGCAAGAGAGTTCAATTCAGACTCATGTATCATGTTAGAGTTCACGGGTTTGAGATTGTCAGTAATTACACCCATGGAAGAATATTACTGAGAAAAGTGTATTCTTTCACAAGAAAGGATACTTCAGAAATTAACACATACCAAGCTTACTCATTGCAAACTCGACTTCATCTAAAGAAAAATCCATTGCTAACAAGGATTCTTTCTTTTCATCTCTAACTACGCATATATCAAGCTCCTGCAAGAGAAGAGGTTAAATCAAATTATTTTCACTACTTTCTTTTTTCTATACATCACCACTATAGCCAAACAACACCCGACAAGAGAAACTGAATCTCTGAATGTGTGTAACTGCAAGAATCTCAATATTTGATAACAATGGTTAGACTAGTTACTTCAATATTTATGACTACACATGATAAGAATCCCTATTTAGCAATAACTATCATGTCAATCATGAAATAGCATACCTTATTGATGTTAAACATGCAGGTAACACAAGCACTGACTACTGGCTAGTAAATGGCAACAAGGTTCTACTTTTTATTCCAAAAGCAATCATCTAAATATCTGTACAAAACGAATGTGCCAACAGCCCCAGCATATTGTAGTTTTAGCAGCAGTACAAACAAACAAGCACAGAAAATATGGCACCAGGGAAAGACTATGTCTACATCTTATACACACTTCTATGGTTTAGCCATAAGAGAAGCACTAATTGGGCTTCCGTAATAGATAAGATATTTACTAAATTCTGTGGGTGTACAATCAATTTCATGCTTTGTGAGTACCGAGTAGATTAGCTTTGAATTGGACCATAATTTTCTAGTCATCATCTTAGGCATCTATTTTGATGTTGGGTTCATTGGCAAGCACACAATTATGAAGATAACCACAAAAAGGTTGTCAGTTTAATAACATATATGACAACAGCATTTTAGCTACCTATCAAAAAAATGACAACATTAATTAAGCTAAAATAAAAAATAAAAAAAAAAAAGTAATGATGAAACCAAATTGAAAAGAAGCTCTGAGGCACAAACAAAGTCATCAAATCACCTCTTTTATAGGTAATTCAGAGTCACAATGGGCAAGGCTGACTGGATCCTTCTCATCACCAAACAAGCTATCCAAAGAATCTGATGAATCTGATCTATTAAGATCCTATTCAATACAAAAGAATGTCATCACTGAACATCATTATGGAAAACATTTAAATGCTTCCACTGAAGGAAATTGCAACATGCAAAGGGGGGCCACTTACAGGATATGTAAAAAGAGTCTCCAGTAATAAGTCAACATTGTCATCACCTATATTGGAAAAAAAGTATTCCTTATCCACAATTCATTAGAATGATAATGATAAACAACAGATGAGATGGCATTATGTCCTAAGTAGATTATATCTAAGAATTAATGCAGCAAACTTGGTACAATACTTATCAGGGTAAGTAGGATCAGTTAGATAAACCCTCTTTATCTTAACAGCAATAATGTGCAATTATTTCCCAGCCATGTTGCAATAAGATTTTGAAAACTGTGATTCCACATGACATACCATTTTCTTCAATTGCTCTGTCAACAAGTGATGGTGAAAACCCCATTGCAAGCAAGGATGACCTTACATTGCTGCCAGATGAACTACCAACATCATTCTGCAGAAATGCAGAGTAGAACCAATTTATCAGCATGAGGATAATTAGTTTGCAATGCTTTGACGCACATAGGCAATTCACAAGCATTAGTATAAATCCATAGTCACCAATTCACCATCCGTCCATACCCCCATAGGTTGTGGATACATGTTCTCTGCTGGCAAATCATAATCAAGAGCCTCAGTTTTAGGCATGATGGCACTTTCAGTCTCAGGTTTTGCAGCATTTTCATTATTGGAGTAATCTGTTACCTGGCACTAACAAGTGTGTTACAAGTGAGTAGAAAATCAAGCTAACTTGATTGAGAAGCATAGCACACATTTTGCACTCATGTACCATCTCAAATTGAAACTTGCGTGAGGGAAGCAGTGTTAGAGTATTGTAGGTTAACTGCAAATTCCTGTAGACACCTACTAAATAAGAAGGTAGAAATTAGAAAAGTATTGGGTCAAATATGGTGATATGCAGGCTATGAATAATGAGTTATTGATAAATATACAAACTTTAAGCCTTTCGCAGGAGAAATTTGACAGCCGATAAAAATACACTGCAATCTGGCTTTCTCGTTCAAAAAGCAAGAACTAATTGAAACAGGGGACAAGTTTGCGACTCCAGTATACCCAGAGTTAGAGGTCTAGAATCCGCAACACCAGAAGAAAACATATATAAAAAATAAAAAGAAAAAAAAATTACTCCCATTACTACAATCCAACCCCAGATTCAACAATGCGGTTGGAAAATAAGCAAAACCAAAAATGGAATTGGCGCATTAATCAGCAAATCTTTTGATTGAATGGGGTGCAGAGAAGCTTAACCATCTAGGGGGTCAAAAAGTTTTAGGGTTCCTAGCTTACCCGACCGGAGATGTCACCGGAAGGTGGGAGGGGCTGACGGGAGAACGTAGAGCAGGATTCGAGAAGGAGCGAGGTGAGACCTGAGTGTGAGACCGTGAGAAGTCCGCTAAATACTAATAAGGAGTGAATCAATTACTCCATATATATATATATATATATATATATATATATATATATATCTACTATACTATCTTCCATATCTACCATACTAATAAGAGCCCGAGAGAGTTAGGCCTATAATGGGTAGAAAAAAAAAAATGACGGTCAAATTTTTTAATCAAATGAATGGTTCAGATTGATCAGATTTAAATTTTTCCTTTAAGATTTCCTAATTTATCCTTAATGAATGTGATTTTCCGTTAACTTTTTCGTTAAATATTATCTTTTTCGTTAATTTCTGTTAGTTCACCGTTAACTTACTCATTGATTTTAATAAGAATTTAAAGGTCTTAGGTTCGAACCTCATCTCAATCAAAGTTGGCATAATTAGTACTCTATTTTACTCTTATTAAATTAATTTAGTAGCTACAACAAAAAATAATACATATCATTTTTTAATTTAGAATTATGTGTCTACAATGCCTTTATTCAAAAAAATTTATTCATTATCAATAAATTAAATAAGATATAATTTCATTAGTTATATTGTATTTATTTTTCTCCAATATAAAAATTCTTTATATTCAAATTCATCAATTGATTATATTTGCTGCATTGTCCCTACAATGTCTTTATTAAAAAAATAATTCATTATTAATAAATTAATTAAGAGAAATAATTTTATTAGTTATATTGTCTTTATATTTCTCCAATGTAAAAATTCTTTACATTCAAATTCATCAATTAATTATATTCACACATTGTCTATTACCTTTTTTGTGCACTATTTTTTTTAATTAAATATCAAAGTTATAATACAAAATAATGCTATATATTTATTTACCAAGTATTTTATTAATACCATGAAAAAATTAAAAAATATAATCAATTATATATAGCATTATTTTGTATTATAATTTTGATATTTAATTAGAAAAATAGTGCACAAAAAAGATAATAGATAATGTAGTGAATGTAATCAATTGATGAATTTGAATGTAAAAATTTTTACATTTGAGAAAAATAAAGACAATATAAATAATGAAAAATATTTCTTTTAATTAATTTATTGATAATTAATAAATTTTTTTTCACTGAATAAAGACATTGTAAGGATAATGTAGCGAATATAATCAATTAATAAATTTGAATATAAAGAATTTTTATATTGAAGAAAAATAAAGACAATATAACTAATAAAATTATTTCTCTTATTTAATTGATTGATAATGAATAATTTTTTTTTTTTGAATAAAGGCATGTGGACACATAATTCTAAATTAAAGAAATGCATATGTATTATTTTTTGTTGTAACTACTAAATTATTATTTATATAATTTAATAAGAGTAAAATAGAGTATTAATTATGCAAACTTTGGTTGGGATGAGGTTCGAACCTAAGACCTTTTTTATTGAAATCAATGAGTAAGTTAACGGTGAACTAACGGCAATTCTTAAAATTTTAACGGAATTAGTAACGGTGTGTGGGTATTTTAGGAAATTTTAGTGTAAAATTTAAATCTGATCAATCTTTTAATTAATCTGAGCTATTCATTTGATTAAAATCTGTGACCGCCATTTTTTCTACCCATTATAGGCCTAACTCTCTTGGGCTCTTATATATATATATATATATATATATATATATATATATATATATATATATATATATATATATATACTAGTTTTTTTACGCGCATTGCGCGATTGGGATAATGCCCAATGCTTTTTTGTTAAATAAGTACTTTAAAGTATATTAAGGCAGGATTATATTGAATTGTTCATGCATAGATAATTGAAGGTTGAATTTGCGTATTTAAATAGGTAATTCTTCTCCCAAAGGTTGAGTCCCCAACCCAAAGAGCCCCCCGCACTCCGACCCGACAGAGCATTGTGGGAAGTTGTAAATCACAGTGACTCAATGGTTCAGCAGACAGGGCCAAATGCTGATACACACAATGAATCTGCCCACTTTGGACATAATTCCCGCACTGCTGCCGCCGAGGTTCAAACCTTGGTCTCTTCTCCCAAATACTACCCACTAAACCATTGAGCTAAGCCCGTGCGAGTTAAATAGGTAATTCTAAGTTTACAAATGCAAGATAATATAGTCAATATTGATTATAATTGTCAATAAAATAATTGTATAGGTATGGTTGAAACCAAATACGGGACATAAGGGAGAACAAATAAAAATTAGGGCATAAAATATGAAATATATACTAATATTGTTTGAGGAGATTCCGACATTAGGATTTGTGGTTAAGTTCTATTAAGACTTTAATATTAGAATTAGATTAATGGTGTAGTTATAATTCTATATATTAGACTTTAATATTAGAATTAGACTAACGGTGAATTAACGAAAAAGTTAAATGGATAATCATATAATTAAGGATGAATTAGAAAATCTTAAAAGAAAAAAATTAAAACCTGAACAATATGAACCATTCATTTGATTTAATAATTTGACGGTCATTTTTTCTACCCGATGTTAATAATTAAATAAATTCGCTGGTAGCGAATATAATCAATTAGAGTATTAATTATGCCAACTTTGATTGGGATGAGGTTCGAACCTAAGACCTTTTTTTTTTTTAAATTGAAATCAATGAGTAAGTTAACGGTGAACTAACGGCAATTCTTAAAATTTTAACGGAATTAGTAACGGTGTATGGGTATTTTAGGAAATTTTAGTGTAAAATTTAAATCTGATCAATCTTTTAATCAATCTGAGCCATTCATTTGATTAAAATCTGTGACCGCCATTTTTTCTACCCATTATAGGCCTAACTCTCTTGGGCTCTTATTAGTATAGTAGATAGATAGTAGATATATGGTACTATACTAATAAGAGCCCAAGAGAGTTAGGCCTATAATGGGTAGAAAAAATGGCGGTCAAATTTTTTAATCAAATGAATGGCTCAGATTGATCAGATTTTAATTTTTCCTTAAGATTTCCTAATTTATCCTTAATGAATGTGATTTTCCGTTAACTTTTCCGTTAAATATTATCTTTTCCGTTAATTTCTGTTAGTTCACCGTTAACTTACTCATTGATTTTAATAAGAATTTAAAGGTCTTAGGTTCGAACCTCATCCAAATCAAAGTTTGCATAATTAGTACTCTATTTTACTCTTATTAAATTAATTTAGTAGCTACAACAAAAAATAATACATATCATTTTTTAATTTAGAATTATGTGTCTACAATGCCTTTATTCAAAAAAAATTATTCATTATCAATAAATTAAATACGATATAATTTCATTAGTTATATTGTATTTATTTTTCTCCAATATAAAAATTCTTTATATTCAAATTCATCAATTGATTATATTTGCTACATTGTCCCTACAATGTCTTTATTAAAAAAATAATTCATTATTAATAAATTAATTAAGAGAAATAATTTTATTAGTTATATTGTCTTTATATTTCTCCAATGTAAAAATTCTTTACATTCAAATTCATCAATTAATTATATTCACACATTGTCTATTACCTTTTTTGTGCACTATTTTTTTTAATTAAATATCAAAGTTATAATACAAAATAATGCTATATATTTATTTACCAAGTATTTTAGTAATACCATGAAAAAATTAAAAAATATAATTAATAAAGCTAATCATATTAATTATTTGAAGGATTTGTTGACAAATAGACTATTCAAATCACACAACAAATTGAAGTGAGAACAACTTCGCAATATCCTTGTTTGACAATCAGCAGTTAGCGGTTAGCGTTAGCGGATTATATTAGCGAATTTGACCGGCGAATTATATCAATGGTTGGTAAAAAAATATTTGATAAAATTAGTTGTTTAGATTAACATATAAAATGAACTAAGCGTATGATGATATAATAATAATAATAATAATAATAATAATAATAATAATAATAATAATAATAGTTTTAAAAAATAAAAAAATAAAAAATACAATTAAGTCAATCATATTAACTACTTGGAAGATTTATTGACAAAAAGAGTATTCAAATCACACAACAAATTGAAGTGGGAAACTATCTCGCAATGTCCTTCTTTGGCAATCAGTAGTTAGCTCTTCAATATTAGTATATACGGAGTATTTAATAATTTATGTCTTAATTTTTATTTTCTCTCCCTTATGTCCTGTATTTGGTTTAACCATACCTATACAATTATTTTATTGACAACTATAATCAATCTTGACTATATTATCTTGCATTTGTAAACTTAGAATTGCCTATTTAAATACACAAATTTAACATTCAATTATCTATGCATGAACAATTTCAATATAATCTTGCATTGATATACTTTAAAATACTTATTTAAAAAAATATTGGGCATTATCTCAATCGCGCAATGCGCGTAAAAAACTAGTATATATATATATATATATATATATATAGTTAATTACTAAAATGGTTCCTTGACTATAGCGAAATTACCAATTTGATCATTGACTAATTTTTTTAACCAATTAAATCCCTCAATTTTAAAAATTTTAATCAATTTGGTCCTCCGTTTGTTTGACCGTTAGTTAACCGTTAACTTGGGACCAAATTGGTAATTTTGCTATAGTTAATGGACTATTTTGGTAATTAACTTTAGGAGTGGACAATTCGGTTTAGTTTTCTCGAACCGAACCGTACCGAATTGAACTGAACTAGTTTGGTTCGGTAATATACCGAACAACCGAACGGTATTGGATTCTTGTATACCGGACGGTTCGATAAAAAACCAATCCGAATTGTTCGGTAAAAAATTGAACTGAACTGAATACCATTTAATTTTTTTAACAAATATAATAATAATAATAATAATAATAATAATAATAATAATAAAATAATAAATCTAAGTCCCTTTCTGCTTGTTCTGCCGTTCAGCTCATATTATCACGGGTATCTCTCGTAAATGTTTTATTTGATTTCTTTATGGTTTGTTATCAAAAGTTCTATATTATGTGTTATGGTGTTTACATAGTCCATATCTAAAGTCTAATATATAACAAAATAGCAATCCAAAGTTCAAACGGTACTCGATTCGGTTCGATTTTTACCGAACAATTCAGTCCGGTTCGAGTTTTTACCAAACCGTTCGGTATACAAGAATCTATTACCGTTCGGTTACCGAATCTAACTAGTTTGTTACAGTTCGGTTCGAGAAAACTGAACCGAATTGCCCACATTAAAGTTAATTACCAAAATAGTCCCTTGACTATAGCGAATTACCAATTTGGTCCCAAGTTAACGGTTGACTAACGGTCAAACAAATGGAGGGCCAAATTGGTTAAGATTTTTAAAGTTGAGGGACTTAATTGGTCAAAAAAAAGTCAATGACCAAATTGATAATTTCGCTATAGTCAAGGGACCATTTTGGTAATTTACTCATATATATATATATATATATATATATATATATATATATATATATATATATATATATACTAGTCTTTACTATGCGCGATGCGCATATATGCCCAATATTTATATTTTTAAAAATAACTAACAAATTTTTACTAATTAAAATCTAAGTGAAATAAAATTTATTTATTATATTAATCCAATATATTCTTTCAAAAGGCTGAACCCCAACCCTAAGGGCTCTCCACACCCCGGCCCGACAGAGCATTTGGGAGGATGTAAATCATTATTAATCCAATATATAATGAATATATAATGTTTTACAAATATTGTTATCATAAAAGAATATAAGAAAATATATGGTAGATGCATGTACATTGTAAAAGTAATGGAAAAGATAACGGAAGTTATAACGGTAAAGATTGTATAGTACAACTCTAAAAACACAATGTACAAAATGGTTAGCATTAAAAACATGGACAAAAATGGGGGATATAACTTTGATTGAGACTTATTATATTTTTAGATATATGAATAACCGATCAAGGGTCCGTCTAAAAACTCATAAAATAGAGTTGTGTAGGGGTTTAGCGCTTTCGATAAACTACTTTGTATTCGGCAAACGTTGGTTTATTAAGGTAAACAAATAAAATTTAGAGCTCGGTTTATAAACGAACAAAATATGAACAATTGTAAATTTGTTTGCTAAAAGATCGTAAGCAAGCTCGTTTGTGTTCGTTTAATAATGTTCGTCAAAAATCTCGTCTAGTGTTCGTTTAATAATGTTCATGAACAAGCTTGTTTATGTTCGTTTAATATTTGTTTGTATTCTCTTTGTAGTTAGTTGTGTTACTTGTTTGGTTATTTTTCGTGAACATATATTATTTATTGTTCAAGAACGAATTTTAATCATGGACATGTTCATACTTCATATGTTTGGTTATTAAGCATTTATGAACATTAACGAACGTGTTCGTTAATGTTAACGAACATGTTCGTGAATGTGTTCGTTAATGTTAACGAACACGTCCGCGAACGTTAACAAACACTAATGAACGCTTAACAAACAAACACGAACAGAATTTTCAAAAACCTTAACAAACGAACACGAATACGAACACTCCAAAAACCTTAACAAACACGAACAACATTCGTTCGTTAACATCCCTTGACTTGTGGTTGGGTGTTCAAATAAAATAAATTTAAAGTAAAGATAACTATTCGATATAGAGTTGTGGTTAACCGTAAGCTCTTCAATCTTATTATCTCTTCTTGCAGTATCCGACAAAGAGATCTGCTTTCACCTTATCTATATGTATTATGTGTGTTGAGGGTCTCTCGTATATTCTCTAAAAACATAAAAGAGAAAGAAAAATACATGAATGTAAAGTAACAAGAGAGGCCCCGAGTATCTCTCATATCGTCTTCGTCAATGATAACTTATTATTCTTTATGACGGATGAAAGAGAAGCCAATACCATCAAACAATGTTTAAACACTTACGAGTCCCTATCCGATCAAGGAGTGAATTTAGGTAAATCATACATTTGCTTTAGTCGTAATACATTGGAGACCATTCAAAATTTTGTAACCATGTATTGGTGTTGCATGGTTAACATTTTATGTATATGCAATCAACATATTATGTGTTTGTAATTAACATGTTATGTGTTTATAGTTAACAAGTTATGTCATTTCAATTTATTTACATACACATAAACTGTTAATTGCATATAATACAATATGTCAATTGCAGACACATAATCAACATGTTATTTTAGACCAAAGTTCATAATGCAAGGTAGGCATTAGCCCACTGTATAATTTGTCAAATCCCACTAGGAATGAAGACTCATATCCTCGGTTCGACCGGATATGATGAAAAATTAAAAAATAGAATGACTCACAAATTACTTAATCTAGCGGTTTTAGGTATTCAAAAGAAAAAGGGAGTATGCTTTGGGTCTCCCCTTCCAATTTGTAAAACAGTCTGTGATCTAAGTTTTTTGTAGCATTGCTAGGAAATTTGTTTATATGTCTGATTGTAAAGAATGTATTACCATTATAACGATATGTATTGTAAACGTTTCTGCTTATGATTAATGAATTAGTTTTTTTATTATTATTATTAAAAAAAAAAAGAGTATGCTTTGGGCACAAATTATGTCGTGCAACCGTGTGCACCATGCATGGCGTACATGGTTGCAAAAAATGACGTCGTTTTAATTAAAAACGACGCGTTCGACTTAAAAAAAAAAATTTCGATTGCCGTTAACAGTGTTATGTTGTGCTATATATCCAGAATTAATGAACTATATATCCAAAGTTAGTAAATTATATATCCACATCGGTTACTGATACTCTGTTTTGGCATATGGCAGTTCACTGCGTCTGTGTATTCTGAATGAATGAACTATAAATTCAGAATTGGTGAACTATATATCCAGAATTAATGAACTATATATCTAGAATTAGTGCACTATGTATCCAGAATTAATGAACTATATATCCATATCGAAAATGATGGAAATCTCGTCGATTGGAGTTAAAAAAAAAAGTTGATTGGTGAAGTTAAACGATGTCACTAACAACACCGATACTCCACCATAGTGAAATGATATCTTTCACAACCATTTATACCATGCATAGTTGGTGCACACAGTTGCACAACATAACGATTGTGATTTGGGTCTCTCCTTCCAAGTATATTAAAAAAAAAAAAAGGACTATTTGCAATTTATCAGAAAAAGGCAAAAAGCCCAATAGTCGTGCACGTCGGAGCCCGATAGTTATATCACAAACACAAACAGCAGCCCAACTGTTATCTCCAATTCATAACTCTTCCTCCACCACCACATCTTATCTAACGAAAAATTATCTTCCTCCTCAGTCCTCACCCACCCGAAGATACAGAGGAAGAAGAAAGTGAACTCAAATGGCGTCATTCGCTCAGCAACTCGGTGTGATAAAATGCCCGCCAATCCCGACCACAAGAATTGGTGTCTCCTCTAAGAAGATTATTCAAAGCTATTCTTACAAAAAGCAGCTGAGAGTAGTCTGCCAAGCAGCGGCCGTGGTAGGCAATGCGCAGACAAGAGAGAGACAGAAGCTTAAAGAGATGTTTGAAGAAGCATACGAGCGGTGCCGCACTGCACCCATGGAAGGTGTCGCTTTCACTCTAGAAGACTTCCACGATGCTCTCGATAAGTACGATTTCGATTCCGAAATCGGTACCAAGGTCAGCTCTTAATCCTTAATATACCACTGTGCCCTGTTGTAACTTTTCTTCGACAACTGAAGCTGAAATTTAGTAATTTCTGTGATTTTTGGATGCCAGTATTATAAAGTGGGTGTTGATCTCTTTGTGAAATGGATACCGACTTTTAACGTCTAATTTGAATTTCTTATATTTGATGATTGTTTTGAATTGAGTTTTGCCAGATATGGACCCTAATAGTTATAATGAATGGGTCGTGAAGTTGAAATGGAGAACAATATTTTTACACAATGCATAATACTTCATAAAACACCAGAGTTCAGATTTTCTGAACATAACCAAGATTGAGCCAGTTGATTTGTTTTCTATTTGTCTTGGTAGGTAAAAGGTACAGTGTTTAGTATAGATGCATATGGAGCTCTAGTTGACATCACTGCCAAATCATCGGCATTCTTGCCACTTAGAGAGGCATCTATTCACAATATCAAGAATGTAGAAGAGGCTGGCATAGTTCCTGGTTTACGAGAGGAATTTGTAGTTATTGGTGAAAATGAAGCTGATGATAGTTTGATCTTGAGTTTGCGTTCCATCCAATATGACCTTGCCTGGGAACGATGCAGGCAGCTTCAAGCTGAAGATGTTGTTGTCAAAGGGAAGGTATGATTTACCTAACAGAGGTATATCTGAATTCAGTTCCCATTACCTTGTTTCAATACGATGAGGAAATCATGACAAGTCAATAAAAGTATCCACCACACCATGCATTCTGATTTTTATTCAATGCTTTTCTGACAACATTATGCTCACTGTTGTTCTATTGATCTCTAATTAGCGCACTATTTTTGTTGCACTTTTACTTTCTGGCAACTGGTGCAAGTCATGTTTCATTTGTTGAGTTTGTAGGTAATTGGTGCTAATAAAGGTGGAGTTGTGGCATTGGTTGAGGGCGGCCTGCGTGGATTTGTTCCATTCTCACAGATCTCAACTGTTAGTTACATATTCTGTGTCATAAACACTTATATATTTTTCATAACTGTGGTAGCTTTGTTCGGACTTCCTAATCTAACAAGTTTCTAGCATGCTTTACCTTTCCTTCATTTGCTATGCAACTTGAACTTTAATTTTGGAAGTCACTAGTAACTTTATATAATGCATCAGAAATCAACTGCAGAGGAGCTTTTGGGTAAGGAGCTTCCTCTCAAGTTTGTGGAGGTTGATGAAGAGCAGTCTAGACTTGTCCTCAGTAACCGCAAGGCCATGGCTGATAGTCAGGCACAGTTGGGAATTGGATCAGTTGTACTGGGAACTGTTCAGAGTTTGAAGCCATATGGTGCTTTCATTGATATAGGAGGGATTAATGGTCTCCTCCATGTTAGCCAGATCAGTCATGATCGGGTCTCAGATATTGAAACGGTCCTTCAGCCGGGTGACACCTTAAAGGTTTGCATAGCTTTGCTTGCTGCCTAGTTTGCTGCTAATCAATCATATGTAACTCCGAAGAGATATTACAACAGTTTGGTAAATTTTGTTTCAGGTCATGATCTTGAGCCATGACCGTGAGAGGGGCCGTGTGAGTCTTTCTACAAAGAAGCTGGAACCTACACCTGGTGACATGATTCGCAATCCTACACTTGTGTTTGAGAAAGTAAGTTGTTCAAAATGCTTTTCAACATCTCCTGTTCGAGTTGTATTTTCCTTGTGTGCTTGAATTTTTGCCTTGAGAGATTTGTGGAGAAATAGTAAATAAAAGCTTGTGATTTGTTGGTGCAGGCTGAGGAGATGGCACAAACATTCAGGCAAAGAATTGCTCAAGCTGAAGCAATGGCTCGTGCAGATATGCTGAGATTCCAACCCGAGGTAGTGTTGAGAGTATCTTGATTCTTCTGGACACTGGAGTTAGTGAAAACAAGACTTGGGTGGTATGTAGTTAATTAACGGAATGATTCTATTGTAACCTTGCAGAGTGGATTGACTCTGAGCTCTGATGGGATTTTAGGCCCACTGAGCTCTGACTTGCCGGCAGAGGGATTGGATTTGAGCGAAATTCCGCAGGCGGAAGATTCATTTGATATAAGCGAAATTCCTCCCGCCGAAGATTCAATCGATTCAATCGACGATTTATAAATTGTTTTTGCAGAAATCTTGTGGCAGGTAACCTATGTAAAACTTTGGATAACCCTGCGTGATATAGTGAAAATATTGTTCAAATTTGTATAATTATCTATCTTAATCTGGATCTTTCATTCTTTCCCTTTGATTCGTGTGCTTTATATTTATATTTCCACACCTACGGGGAAGAGTGAACAAGGGGGAAAAAAAGGAGTACCTAACAGGCAAATTACTCTGTGGCGCAAGATGGACCTGGGTAAAAAAATATACAATTTATATACTGAATATTCACAAATTTATATACTGAATGTTCATAACTTAAATATTATGTATCTTATGTGTTTTATGTTACGTAATTTTGTACTTTAAAATTATGAATTATGAACTTGAATATATTATTAACTAACTGTGTATAAACATGAGGAACAAAAAGCTGAAAGTATATTAAAATTTAAAAATCAAAACAAGGTCTTTTTGATCCAAGGTTCACAAACCGTGCATGACATAAATTGCTCTTTCGGCTGACATTGTCCTCTACGCATTTCTTGAATTGTTACGTGGGCATTTTATAAAGAAAACAGAATTGGATATGCAACAACATCCAAAAGGTCCAAGATATCATTTTTTTTCATCCTACTAAAAGTAACCTTTAAATTTTTATTTATTTTTTCCTAAAATGATACTTCATTAAAGCAAATGTTCATTAGTTCTTTGATCTCAAAATGTATTTGCATAATTAGTACGTATAGATTGGAAAATGTTTTTCACCCATACAAATATCAGTTCTAAATTAAAAAAAGGATTTATTTATTTATTTATTTAGATTACGGGTGATTGACCTACCAATTAATAAACAGTCTTTGTATAACAAAAATTAGATCCAACTGCAAAGACACGGTGAAGAATGAGACATTGTGAAAAAACTGAAAATAGAAAGTTGCCCACCTCGCTCGTCACATGACAAGAGTTTTTATTACTTTTTAGAATAAGGGTCAAATAAGTAATACAATTATACTCTAAATTGTAATTAGATCACTGAACTAAAAGAGATTACAATTAAGTCCTTGAACAACACAAATTCACACAATTTAATCTAAAATGATTTGTTTACCTATTGATATAGTGACATGTCGGTTATTATATTTAAAAAATAATTGTTTTAAAATTTATTTTAATAATTTTAAATAAAATAATTATTTTAAAATTAAAAAAAAACAACAACAATGGAGACGAAGGGTCTCCTGCCGGCCATGGGGGACCCTTCGTCTCTGATTGGCTATGGAGACGAAGGTCTATGTCTTCGGCTGTTTTTTTTTTTTTTTTTTTTTTTTTTTTTTTTTTTTTTTTTAATTTTTTAAAAAATAATTATTTTATTTAAATAAAAAACTAGTTTTAAATATAATAACCAACACGTTAACATATTAGTAGGTAAACCGTAAACAAGTCATCTTATATTAAATTGCATAAATTTGCGTTATTCATTGATCCAATTATAATTTTTAAAAATTTAGTGATCTAATTATAATTTAGTATGTACTATGTAATTGCATTATGTATTTAACCCTTATTCCTCACTTTTTTTTCTTCTAATCCAAAACGCTACAAAGCAGGGGATACCCAATAGAGTTTTTCCATTAGGATGTCTATTTTTGTCAGGTTATCCAAATGGATTCACAAATTATCGCTCTCTGAATTTCCGCACATTTTTTAACACTGACTAATATAATCTATTTCAATCATTATTATGTGGACCATATTTTATATACTGTAAAATAATGTACATTCAGTACAAAAATAATATATTTTTAATATATTAAAAATGCATATTATATTCAGTGGCACAAAAATAATGTACAACGCCCCTCCTAATATATTTTTAGTACAAAAATATACATTGTATTCATTTTAGTACATTTAACTTTCAATCCAAATTTACTACAACGCCCCTCCTAAGTTGTCACCAACCCTTTTCAAAAAAAAAAAAAAGTTGTGACTAACCTGCTTCTTTTTTTATTTAGTGGCACGTGCAGGGACATTATTGGGAATACATCCAACACAGATCTGCTGTTTTGTCCTTCTTTCGGGGAAGCTTCATTTGATACTTTGATCCAAAGATTGTTTCTTCTCTCTCTGTCTCTATATATATCTTGGCCCAACCGCCGCCCCGAGCTTCCGCTTACGCATCTCTTTCTGCTTCAGACGCGCTTCTCTCTCATTTCAACAGTAAGCTTACCTTTTATTTTTAGATACGATACATATTTGCTTTTCTGTGTCTGTGTATAAATTTTCATTTTAAATATCTGTTAATTTATTTTTCAAAATTAACAGACATCCCTTCAATTATATACAATACTTATATAATAGTTTACCATTAAGATTTGATCTTTGATTAGCAGTTAATCCCTATCAGTATATTAAGAAATGGTTTCCAGGAGTTGTATCGGGATTTCAACTATGAAACCCTGTTCTAGGATATTAGGTAGCTATAATCATTCAATTTTTTGGTACCCATTCGGGAGATGCAATCGCCAGGTTATGGATAATTTGTCGAAATCACAGCAAAAGATAAAGGATGTACATAGAATGGGCGGTGGTAGGTACCGCCATAGGCACAGTGTTGTCACACTTACAAGAGTAATCAATTCGAATCGGTGTGCTTTTTGTGGATCCGGTTCGAATGGGGATCAGCATAGGGATTCTTTTTGTAATTGGCTTGGTAGGAGTAAGAATAGGCTTGTATTTGTTGTTCCTAAAGTAGCTTCAGATATGAGGAGCCATTCAACTTCCACTGAAGCTCAAGTTAATGACAAGAGCTTCAAGAAGTTCTATATTCAAGGGGGTATGAATGTAAAGCCTTTGGTGATTGAGAGAACAGAAACACGGGAAGATGTTGTAGAGACATATGAACAGAAAGATGGGGGTAGGGTAGAGATAACTGATGATTCAACTGTAAATAAAAATGATTTAAATGGGTCAAGTATTTCAAAATTGGCCCCTGAGAGAGAGGTGTCTGAGGTAGAAAAGGAAGCATGGAAGCTGCTCCAGGGAGCAGTTGTAAACTATTGTGGATATCCTGTGGGGACAGTTGCGGCAAATGATCCAGCTGACAAGCTGCCACTCAACTATGACCAAGTTTTTATTCGTGATTTCATCCCGTCAGCTCTTGCATTCTTGCTTAATGGAGAAGGGGAGATTGTCAAAAATTTTCTGCTCCATACTCTTCAGCTGCAGGTAACAATTGCATTTTTCAGTTTATTCTCTACTTGATCAATTTTTGTTTCTTTCACCAATATGGCGCCTGTTTTTTCTCTTGAAAGATACTGAAGTAATTTACTGTAACAATTTGTTGCTTCACTTAGTAGATTCATTTTCAATTTTCTTAGTACAGTAGGTATGGAATGGAAAAATTGCTGCCTGTCTTTCAGACACTCAATTTATTAGTCTGTGGTAAACTTCATTTCTTGCAAGTGCCTACTAAGGTTATGACTGATTAATTAGATTGCAATGTGGAAATTTTTTGAGCTCAGGTTTGGGTTTTTATGCTAAGAAAAATAGTTTTCGTTTTTCCATAGTTATTCTTCCTCAAGCTCAGATATTGAACATTTTAGTCTCTCTCACCACGAGTCAATCTGAACAGTAAAGGACTTGAACATTGCTTTATCTATGTTAAGATAATGGTTAACTCTCCTGCTGTCATTTGCATTTGAGTATTTTCCTTTTGCTTTGTAGAGTTGGGAAAAAACTGTGGACTGCTATAGCCCTGGACAAGGGTTGATGCCTGCAAGTTTTAAAGTGAGAACCATGCCACTTGATGGAAGAAATGGTGAATTTGAGGATGTTCTGGACCCAGATTTTGGTGAATCTGCTATTGGGCGAGTTGCACCTGTTGATTCTGGTGAGGCACCAATTTCACATAATGTGACATTATTTTTATTTCCACCTTCTCAGCTTCTTGTCTGTAATACTAATACAGAGAGTATCATTTTGTAGTTTGCAATTATTCATTTATATTTTTGTAAAGTTAATTCATCTTCCGTTGTATTTTGCATGAATTGAACAGGGTTGTGGTGGATTATTTTATTAAGAGCTTATGTAAAGATTACAGGTGATTATACACTGCAAGAGAGGGTGGATGTGCAGACAGGCATTAGATTGATACTTAATCTCTGCTTACGTGATGGTTTTGACATGTTTCCTACACTCTTGGTCACTGATGGTTCCTGCATGATTGATAGAAGGATGGGAATTCATGGCCATCCACTTGAAATTCAGGTAAGTGGACTCTACTTGAAGAGATTTTTTGTAAGCTTCTTCACCATACATGTGTGACTAACATTGATAATTTCTATAACATGGAGAAAGCTAGCCGCATATGTAATACATGTGAAGTTTGATTGATAGATTTATTATTTGAACCTGACCTTGTTGGCCATTTTCAACAGGGTGGAAGAGACTAGTTCTTTGTTCCCTTGCTTTAACTACTTTGAAGATTTCTCAGTAATCTGCTCCAATTGGCCTCTCACACATTATTTTGCATCACTCACTATATATGCCATATTCTGCAGGCCTTATTTTACTCTGCTTTGCGCTGCACTCGTGAGATGCTAATTGTGAATGACTCAACCAAAAGTCTGGTTGCAGCCATCAATAATCGGCTGAGTGCACTATCATTCCATATAAGAGAATACTACTGGGTGGATATGAAGAAAATTAATGAAATATATCGTTACAAGACAGAAGAATATTCTATGGATGCCATCAACAAATTCAACATCTATCCAGATCAGATTCCACCATGGATTGTAAACTGGATTCCAGAAACTGGTGGATATCTTGTTGGCAACCTACAGCCTGCTCACATGGATTTTCGGTTTTTCACACTTGGAAATCTGTGGGCTATCATTTCGTCATTGGGCACCCACGAACAGAACAAGTCTATTTTGAATTTTATTGAAGGTAAATGGGATGATCTCATTGCACAAATGCCTCTCAAGATATGTTATCCAGCTTTGGAGGGTGAAGACTGGCGAATAATAACTGGAAGTGACCCTAAGAATACGTGAGACTCTAACTTCTTCCTTTCTTCAGCCTTCTATTTATGTGTATAGATTATTGAGTGTGCTTATGTATCTTATCATTTTATTGCAGCCCATGGTCATATCACAATGGAGGTTCCTGGCCAACCCTTCTTTGGCAGGTATTACTATTAATTTTAAATACTGTGTAGCTTTTGAATAAAATAGGAAATTAATCAGGAATATCTGATATATATATATATATATATATATATATATATATATATATATATATATATATATATAATAAGAGCCAATGAAGGTAAGAGTATAACAAGAATAAAAAATGTGTTGGTGTAATTGTTTGCAACAATGAGTTTTACATTTTACTTACGTTTTTGTACAATTATAAAATCTTTCCTGATTTGTCCTTACTCTTTCTCCCATAATGGTACTAACAGAAGTTACAAAACTTAATAGTTAACAATATAAAATTTAATACCGTTTTCCATTAGGAAGGTCTCAGGTTCGAGTCTCATCCCAATCAGGATTGGCATAATTGTTGAAAATAGTATACAATTTAACATGAACTTTGATCAATTAATTAGTGAGACTATATACATAGCATTCAAAGATTACAAATAAAGAACCTTTAAAACCATTTTCTTATTCGTTTATTCTGGTACTGTATTACATGTTTCAGTTTACCCTTGCTTGCATTAAGATGGGAAAACCGGAACTTGCAATGAAAGCAGTAGCTGTGGCTGAAGAGAGGCTTCCAGTGGATCAGTGGCCCGAATATTATGATACAAGGCATGGAAGATTTATAGGCAAACAAGCTCGATTGAATCAGACATGGACTGTTGCTGGGTACTTGACATCGAAGATGCTTTTGAAGAATCCAGACATGGCATCCTTGTTGGTTTGGAATGAGGATTACGAACTACTGGAAAATTGTGTTTGTGGGTTGAAATATAATGGGAGAAGAAAGTGTTCTCGCTTTGGTGTTAGATCTCAGGTTGGTGTCTAAATGGGGAATACAGTCCAGAGCGTTGTAGGGTAGCAATTAAGTTGCAGGCATTTGGGAAACAATTGCACTGGATGCAACGTATGTACGTGCATACAGTCATTAAGCTCTTAGGTCTGGGAGGGAAAATATTAGTTTGGTTAATAAATAAGGGGGGCGGGGCTGCATCTTGTTGGATCTCAATTTTAATTTTGTGTGTTTATGATCCGATCCGATCATGCATTATATTTTGTATGACAGCTTACAAATTCAGAAGGGGATGCATTCTAATGCTTGTAAACCCCCGTGAAGCTGGATAGGGTGATTTCATAGCAGTCACTAGGAGTAGTAGTGCGCAGCTACTAATTGAGATTCAGAGTGAACCAACGTAACAGACCAATTACAACATATATCAAGCTAAGATAGTTACAACCAAAAGCAATTAAATAAAATTATTAATAGAGTTAATGACTCACATGTAGTCGAGGTTATGGTAGTCAAACAAGCTTTTGCTTGGGTGAAATCCAAGAACTGGCGGCATGTTCATGTTGGGATGAATTGTTTAAACGTTTGTAACCTTCTGAATTCGTCATCCCATGATTTATCTTATGCAGGTTGTGTTATGGCGGGCGGGATGTCGTTTTCTTCAAAGGCGCTTTAGGGGGTGTATTCAATCATGACTTTTAAAATAATAGATTTTAATAAACTTTTATTGACTTTTATAGAGTTGTTGTACTTTTTAAAACTTTGTAAGACTATAAAAGTCTATATAAAAAATATTCGTAGACTTTTATCAACTTTTTTACTTTAAAAAGCTTACAAAAATCGTTGAAATTCTAAATTGAATACATCATTACAAACTTTAAAGTTTAAATAGTGAGAAAAAAACTAAATAGAGAGAATCTTTAAAGTTGGTAGAAAGACAATTTTGAAATCTTGGGGTTGTGGGTTGGATTTCAATTATTTATATGGAAAAGTCTACAAAAATCCTAAAATTAAAAAGTCTACACAAATTATAACTTTTTGAATACCATATGACTTTTAAAGACTCTTTTAAAGTCTTAATCGAATACCACCAACTTTCCTAAGATCAAGTAAATCTCCACGGTCCATGGAATGCTAAGAATGTATATAAATACACCAAATGGGGCATATTTTGTATCACTCAAACATTGATCAATACAATGTTGAATTGAGTTATCGGTTTAAATTATATGATGAAATGTTGAATGCTACAATCATAAAATCTTAGCTCTATTATTAACGTGTAAAATAACTCTTAAGATATATGCTGAATGCTAAAATGATAAATATTTCTCTATTATTAACATGTAAATCACTAACACCCATTACATAAGCAAATTGGTAATACTCCCATACAAATGACAAGAAAAGAGAAATAGAAAGAGCTGTATCAAAATAGAACACAGTTTACAAGAAAGATTAACACATGAATCAATGACATGAAAAAAGTGTGTTCCGAAATGAATGTGCATAGAACCATAGTGGCAGATTTGAGGTGTTCCTGGCCGAATACATCTCCTTCCACTCTTTGGTGTTCCTCTGATACACCAAAATCTGTTTGTGTGTGGCAAGAAAAATATACTCCCCAGTCTGGCTTATTGGGAACACACCCGGTACCATCCCTCTAATGCAGCGAAGACTCACTCTATCCACTATATGCCATTCCTCTGTTCCATAATTTTTCATCACCCAAACAACCATCCAAGCCTCTGAAATCTGAATAAGAGACAAGCACCCATCCAATTCCAACAAATAAATCCGTTTTCCAGCCCCACAACTTACTTCATTGGGCAACTGAATTTTCTTCCACATCCCATTTCCCTTCTTCAACTCAAGTACAAGCAAACAAGGAGTAGTTTCTGTTAACCAGTGCAATGCCTCATTTACAAAAACAACCTGATTCTTATTCATATGCGTAAATTGATAATCTTGAACTGACACAAATTTCTTCCACCTACCAGATACTGAATCATAAATCAAACATATGAAAGTCCTTTCAGCCCTGTGCGCAAATGCCCTATGATTCCCAGCCAACACAACATTATACTGTTGTGTTAACAAATTACATGCCAACCCAACAAGCATTGCCTCACCATCCGGATAAAACCTACTCATATGCCTTTCTCTACTTCTAGGTAACAATTTGTACTCTCTAGTCATTGGGTTGCAAACATAATAAACCCCTTTATCGGGTATGCTGGAACAACACAATAGCCCATTGCAAGAAGCCCTAACTTTGACTCTATCTTTTATAAAATCTAGGGAAATTTCAGAAACACCTCTCAAATTATCAACGCAGATTAAGCTTGATTTTGATTCTGAACAAGACTCATTCACCTCAAACAAAACCATGGGATTTTTAACAGATACTTGGTTGTAGATCCGAGTGAAGTACTTCTCACATATTAATTTATGCCAGAGTTTGCAAACGCATTTCGTTCTGAGGAGTGACTTTACGGGCAATCGCGCAAGAATCCGGAGAACTACTTCTTCGGGGAAGAATCCATTCACATTTGGATTCATCTCCTAAATCAAAAGAAACACTGAAATGAAAATTCAAGAATTCTTAAGAAAATGACTTACAGTTACCGATCGATCATATCCCTCATCCCCATCCAGCATATAGTGGTAGGTAGAAGAAATTTGTTTCCGTTGAAAAAATTAAGATAGAAATGGTAGCAATTCCGACTCAAGATCGGCTAAACGATATAGGGCCTCAAGCCGAAGTTGGGTCACTCTAAAAGGTGGGGTGGCCTTTTGATTGATTTGTGCCCAACTTGGATCACCTAAAACCGTTTTTCTTCCGAATCTTTCTCTCTCTCTTTTTTTTTTTTAAAAAAAAAAATAATAATAATAATAAAGAAATATCTGAATTATGTATTAAAATTACTATTTATTGTATGATGATAAATTAAATGTTAAATGTCATTCCGCACCATGAACTATAACGAATTCTTCATCCCGCACCCTAATCTTTCATAAGTGATATTTTGATCCACAAACCATTAAATTTTTTGCACCTAGAATTTTTAACAAGTTTCTAGGTTATTATGATGACATGACACAAGTTATTATTTGATTTGGACCTTTTTGTAAGTCAATGACCAAATTTTTAAGTCAACCCCTAAGAATCAATCTTGATATGCTTTCTTCTCTTTCACATTTCTGAGAATTTTTAAACAATGTTAATAATAATCTAAGCTACGGCAGGTTCCGGCCAAAAGCCGCATGCAATCTTGATATGCTATACGCTACAAGGCCACGTCACCCCCTCCGTCCACCTTGCCTGCCGGCTAGCAGAGAAAGGCTTTGTCGTCACCTTAATCAACATCGATTCTGTACACTACCACCTCACCAAGAGCAATCGCCGGAACGACGACATGCTCGCCGGCATCCGCAAGCCCGACCTCGACATCCGCTACGTCACAATCTCCGACGACCTCCGGCCGGAGTGGGATAGGGCGGTGAACCACGACCAGTTCATGACCGCGCTCCTGCATATCTATTAACTGGATCAGGATTTTTTTTCATATTTTTTTTCGTGGGATTTTTTTTTTTAGATGAAAATTTTCTATGAAAGTCACAGATAAGTAGACATGCCAGGATTTAAGCTATTGTGGAACACTGTCAAGTCATTCCTTGACCCCAAGACCACTGCTAAGATTAACGTAAGTTTATCGCCAAATGCGTACATACGTTTGTGCTTTTGTATCTGTTAGAAACTAGCTAGCTAATACCTCTTTCTTAAAAGGTTCTTGTACCATTTTCTTGATTTATGTGTTAATTAAAATCAAAAAAAAAAATTTGCCTTATAAATTCTGAACTTTTTGTTGTTGTTGTTGTTGTTGTGTTTTTTTTTTTTTTTTTTTTTTTTTTTTTTTTTTGGTTATATCAACAAATTGCAAGATTTATTGGGTGGCACCTGCACCATGATCTACAAAAGACGAAATTTCGCACTGTTAAGACCCAAACTCCGGCTTGATTATCCATATATAGTTGTGAGTTCTGATAGATTTTTGTGATGTTATCTAATTTGGTGTGGTGTTTAATCAGATGGTCCACAATGGCGAGCACAAATGCTCGCACAGGATGACTCCTGTCGATGAGGAGAAGACGATCCTAGAGGATGGTTGCGTCAGCGTCAGCATGAGCGTGAAGAAGCCAACATTCTTCAAGATTGAATCTCTCAAGAATGGGAAGCTATTTCCGGTTCAAGAGAAAGTGAGTTTTAATTTGCTTACCATTTACACATCTCTCAATTTACTTCTTCTATTGAGATTAAGGTGCAGTCCCTTTAGCCATGCATACATTTATGCCTCTACAAATGTGCAGACCTGCCAGCCTGATGTGTATGTACCCATGGTTGACAGGTCAGTTGATATGCAGAATAATGATGAGGGAGATGTGTGTAAAAGTAGCGCTGATCAAGCAGAAGGAAGCCACAGAAGAGCGTGGCAGTGGCCAATGCAAGCCACAAGGTGCGAACTGCTCTTACAGGGATTACTAGCTGGTTTGATTCAGATGTGCCGCATTGATGCCCGTGCTTCTGCTGCTTATTATAAACTCAACGGCCACTTTGGCCACTTTGGTTGCATTGACGTGAGTGAGGATGCGATCGAGTACGTGCAAATTTCGTGTTGTGCAACACCGTCCAAGAGCTCGAACATGAACTAAATTCGAGATGGCCAATGGTTCGTTGATCCCGTTGGCCCCTCATGCACCTGTACTAGAAGCTACCGGTGGTTGGCTGGAGAAGGTGTTAGAAGAAAAATAATATAAAATCCATATCAGCATCTAAATATCACTTATGAAAGATTAGGGTGCGGGATGAAGAATCCGTTGTAGTTCATGGTGCGAGATGACACTTTAGCCTAAATTAAACCAATAAAAATAGAGTGATTCTTCTATGAGACCACCTCACAGATCTTTATTTTTGAGACCACCTCACGGATTTTTATTTATGAGACGAGTTGGTTCATGATAGAATAATACGTATGTTGAAAAATGTAATACTAATAAATAATAAATTGTTTGTTACTTATAAGGGAAAATGTAATATTTTTGAGAAAAAAATGTAATACTTTGAAATTAAAATGTAATATTTAAGGTTGAATAGCTACCTATGATTAAAAAAAAAAAAAAGGATAAATTATTTAATTGTTACTTATGAAAGAAAATGAAATACTTATGATGAAAAAATTGTAATACTTCGAAATAAAAAATGTAATAGAAAAAAAAATAGCCACAAATTACACACAAAAGTACAATTGAGTCATTCAACTAAAATAAATTGTAATTAGATCTCTCAACTTTCTAAAATTATGCAATTCAACCAAATTTAACATGTTCTTTAGACCATGCTGACTTGGCAGTCATTCTATTAAAATTATTAATTTTGAATTCATTTTAAATAAAATTAAATTATTTAAAAAAAAAATTCCCATCCCACCCACCCCACCCCAGAAAAAAAAAAAAAAAAAAAACACTTCGTCTCTGGTCGAGAGATGAAGAAACACTTTCCCCGCTATTCCCGCAATTTATCTCAAGATAGGTTCAGGAACTATATATTGGATCTCTAATTGTGAATCATGGTTTGTGAAGGACACCACAGGATTTTCCATGGTTGAACACAGCAAAATCACAAAAAAGTCAACTAGAGAAATCCCACTTTTTATTCAAAATGGCAAAGCAGTTTGTTAATCTATGATTGTACTTAATTGTTGATGTGTTATGTGTAGAACGACAAAGCCCCATCACAACCCTCTATTCCTCCTTTATCATGATAAGTTATGGGTTGAGTAATTGATAATAAGGTAAGGCCTAAATTTTAACACTTCCATTCATTCTTTTGCAAAGAAGAAAATCTTGCTTCCTTTTTTTTTTACAAGGAAAAAAAGTTACCATAAAAAAGGCAAATTTCAACAAATACTTGTTTAAAAAAAAAAAAAAAAGAGTTAATTTAACCAATAAATAATAAATAATAAACATGACAAGTAGGATAAAACAAAGAGAGTAATACTTATGTGAAAAACCCGAGCCATCTTCTAAGAGAATTTGCCATAAAAAAAAATAAAAATAGGCTTAGGGTAAAAGTTTGATGCAGCCTTATGGAATTTCTGTACGTATAAACCACCCACCCAAGTCAATTAATAGTGGGATTATACAGAACTTTATATAAGCTATTTAAACCCCCACATGGCATAAGTTAAGTTAAGTGAAGGAGTTAGCTATTAAAGAGCTGTCTAAAATTAATAACAATCCATTTTCATTTTTATACAGCAGCCAGACACTGGTAGTTGTTTCACAAACTGATTCTTTCTAAGTCAGTCAGAGCTTTGCACACTGGAAATTGGAATGGACCAACACCACCCACCGTGTTTATTTAATAGTCACCTAAATGGCTGAAGCCGGAAAACTTCTGCACCCACCATATGTAGAGTAGAGTAGAGGAGAGGAGAGGGGAGATGAATAGTTAATGGATGATGAGGATACCTTTACTGCAGTCTGCACCACAAGATCTAAGCCTTGCAAGCAATACGCTGAAAAATATATTAGAAAGTAGCATTTCACACTAAACTCTTTTTTTTTTTTTTTTGGATATTGGCATCAAAGCTAATCACCTAGTTTACAAGGTGTGTGACTACTTCACACTTGGAGAGCTTGCAAAACTAATTGATCAAACAAAAAAAAATCATACCTCTTTAACACCCACCACCCATGCACCGTTTATCCACTCCTGATGAAGCCTCAAGCCATGATGCCGAAATTCTAATATCTCATTCGTAGTCCTAAAATTGACTCTGTACTTTGCACCCTCAAGAACTTCACACACTTGACCAACCCGCCACCCATTATTAGACCAGGCATCAACTTCCTCAAGAGGTCTGAATCTGTCAACTCTTTGCAGTATAGGGGCAGAAGGCCTTACAGATAAAGCATCTGCTTCTTGAACTAGCAGATCAGTTCCAAAATCACATTTTAGTGTTCTGAATTCTACCAAGTACTTCCCGTTTCCTATCAGTCTCAAGATCAAAGCTGGGTACCAAGATCCCTGATTTCCTTCTTCATCATCTTTCACCTCCACCTTCGCTCCAATACAAAAAGTTGTTTCTGAGGCAATTCCACCACTATGTCTCCTCATTATCCCAGGTTTGGGATTCGGTAGGTTGTTGTTGGACTTCTGCATTTCAAGCAATTATATGTAAGCTAGCAATGATAAAAGAAAGATACCCAACCTCATCAATTTGTATGAGGTTGCAAAGTAAAGTAGCATGAGAGTGCATGGAGCCATACCCTGAAAGCAATGTCCCATTTTTTATCAATCCACTCTTGATGAGGCCTGATACCATGATGTGCAAACTCTATTTCTTCATTTGTGGTCCAGAAATAAACTACATAATTTAAGCCATCAAGAACTTTGGATATAAGACCCTCCCACCATCCCTCATTGTACCATGCATCAACCTCTTCAAACATTTTAAAGCGATCAAATCGGTGAATGAGAGGAGGACAAGGGCGAATGTTGAAGGCATCTGCCTTTTCTTTGAGGGGTTCAGATTCATCATCTGTCCTCAGAGTCTGATATTCCAAAAGAAACTTGTTCGGCCCAATAGAGTCAAAAATGACTGCAGTGTACCAAGAACCATGGTAACCTTCTTCAAAGCTTGTGGCCTCTACCAACATTCCCTTGCTAAACTTTGGACCTAATGCCTTTCTATCACTCTTGCTCTTGACTTTCACTACTTTCGAGTTTAACATCACATCACTTGAGCTCCTTGGCAAATCAATCTTGTCAAAGTTGAAATAG